ATGACATCCGATGCAATAGTAATGGCACGCAAAACCGTTAAAATACAACACGCATTTTCAATAGCGAGAACGCATTCAGACTCACCGACCGATCGGTCTCGCAACCACACTTCCTCCGACTGTTTGCGCAAGTAAGATTCTACTACTACTCGGTACTCGAGTATTACGAGCCTGCGTTTGCATTGGCGAAGCAGGTACCAGTCGTGACTATATATATATCACATATACACATATATACATATATATGTATATATATATATATATACTAGCCGATTGCTCTCAATATTGAAATATCGAATGTACGATAACCTGGTCAGGAATTATGCGATTGCCGTAGCTGAAGTTTGTGCGACGAGAGCCTCGATCTCCTTCCGACTTCTCTTCTCGCGTGTTATAACTCGCTTCTCTCCTCTATCCTGCCCGCTTCCCCCGCGGTCCTCATTAAACCAACTGCTCGAGACAACTGGCGCTGATTATTTAGCAATACAAATCATTCTCGCCGAGCGCGCGAGTGCGTACCTATCCCTCTCTCTTTCTCTCTCTCCTCTCTATCTCTCTCTCGTTTTTCTCGTTCTGTCGAACGAGTTCCCGCTCGCGTGCGCGGGCGTGGTACTGCACGTACCACTTATGTGCGAGAGGCGAATAACACATACATACACACACGCGTACACTCTCTCGCGCACGGCATGTGCATCAGATACCAGCCGGTAGAAACAGTTTTGTTGATTAGCGTATTCGTTGAAACCGGCTGTATTACTTTGTCGCATCGCCGAGGAATATTCTCGTATACTCGAACCGTAAGTATCTCCCGTAAATAATCGTAAATCGTTGACGTATGCGCCCGGATGTTTCAGAGAAATTAGCGAAATGTACGAGCGAATTTTGAATAAATTTTTATCTCCATTATAACGTCATGTTATTTATTAATAATTATCATAATCTGCGATTGCATTCCTCGGAAATATTTCTGCTACATTCGATACCATCTAATCGGTGCGGAACCGATTTTTCTCGCGTGATCTCTCTCTCTCTTTCTAGTGAATAAAATATTCATATTCGAGAGAGCTACCGGCACATCGTTCTTTCGGAATTCCTCGCGGCCGCACCGCACGCAATTAATTAACTCAAATATCATCCTGTATAATTTACGATTTGCTCCGCGTCGTTAATCACGCGCGTCCGCGCGCGCGAATCGTCCCGTCTTCCCGGACCGATCAGGTCGGGAATCGATAACAGAGATACATTAGAATATTATGACCTTTCCGAGTGCATTCGGTGATTCACCGCGGGAGCCGCGATAGCGGCGTTATCGGCGCGGCTACTCGCCGCGGCCGATCGATGTTATCGGATCTCTCCGCTATACTCCCGGCTAATCGGGACAAGCGAGAAAGGGAGAAAAGGAAGAGGCCGGGGTGCTGACCTCGCTTCCTGAATCGTTCAGGGCGGTGGCATCTCTCCGAGCAGGCTCGGCGAACGCGCTGCGCAGACAACGTCGCGCAGATCGTGCAACCTGCGTTCGTGCAACGAAACGAAATCAAGCGAGATAATATCACTGCGAATATAGTCGGCGATATGTCAGCTCGTTAAAATTATCCTTTATCGTTACGTGTTATTCGAACACTCCGGTTCTCCGCGACGCGCTTTTTAATACGGATTTTATATAACTTATATAAATCTAATTATTTAATTAATTAATCAATTTTAATCTGGTTTTATCAAATCCTGTCATTCCAGTCTCGACTTGTTCGCATAAATTCAAAGCAGGATTCAACTGTCTCAACCAATTTTTAAGAAGTTTCGAGATTTTATCAGAGAATATGGTTCAATATTAATTAATTGATTCTTAATAATTTTTAGATCTAACGTATAAACTGCTTAATTATTTTTCTCGAAAAGTTATGAAGAATCAAAAGAAATCCGTATATTACGTCGAAACAATTGAAATGTGTGTACCTGTCATAGATTTCAGCATAGAGTCGAGTCAAATATACCTGAGAAGTCATGTTTTTAATTATAACACTCCGCTCCGCGCGAACGTATCCGGGACGAAAGCGTTAATCTTAATCATAGCGGAAATCTCGTCGTGCGTAATTTCGTGCAATTACATTTTTAACGTCGCGTATCTCGCGTTCATCTTTCTCTCTCTCCCTCTTTTTCTCTTTTCTGAGCAACTCCGTTCCATGTATGAGCAGGAGATTTAAGATTTCTGAAAACAAACTCATCTTAAGCAATCGTTGGATCGCGATTCAAAGCTGGTACGGATCGGAGGATACCGCGCGTCCTTCTCTTTCTCGAGAGGAAAAATTCACGAGCCCCGATGCCACTATCTTGGCGAGATAACGAGATAACGCCGCCTCATCCCACAGTGAATCCCACGGGCGAACAGGGGCGAACGCTTCCATCGGCAGGCGTGGTATGCAACCTTACGCCGCGCTCATAAGCGCACTCGCGGAGAGCCGCATTATCGCGGGATTACGTAAGCGCTGTGCCGCATGCGATTGCGCTTGTATTACGCTATAATTAGGATCGGGCCGGCCGGCGTGTACGTATCGCCCATATGTATAATACATGTATGCGCGCGACGTTACTTATGCCGCGTAATCCGCATATTAATAACCGCGACGATAAATGTTAACCGCCGTCCGAGTCTCCTCGAGAAAAGGACCGTAAACTGCCGCCTATCGCCAGGCTAATCGGACAAACCGGGATTAGAGAGCGCTTTCCGAAAGAAGGAGAGGCTTGTTCGCATCGAACCCATCTTCCGCTCGCGTTATCAAAGTATGGCTCGCTCTCCCATAGCGTATCGAGCGCGTATTAATTGGAATATTTGAAATACAATCTGCATGATTTACAGAAACCGTCGTTAAAAGCGATTCGGCGCGATTTGGGTACGAGGCGAGCGGATAGTTCGATGTTGGTTGTGTGCAGATTGTATATGTGCGCGTACGTTTCCCTTTTTTTTTCCTCTTCTCAAATGTCCGCGTAATCGTCCGGCATTAAGGAAAGTAAACTGGTTCTGCACCGTGTACGAGCGTTTGACCGGTGCCCGACTTATCTGTAGCCTCGATCTTGCGAGCGAGCGGAAAAATCGCGGAAAGCCACGATACCGTATTGTGATATCGAAAGCACGCGGTACAGAATCGTGCGAGCCTCGCTAATTGATGTATCTTTCTCTCTTAAGCAATAAATAACAACAATAATAAACCTCCGAAACGCTCCGAGATGCGTCACCATCAATTTAGTATCAAGAAAAATGCACCAGTTTTTTTTTTTTAATAAATTCTTAAATTATACACACGTGTTAATATATAAAAACTTTAAAAGTTAAAAAAGAAATTTTTTAACATATAATCGAAAAGAGCAAATTCTAGCTACGTTAACAAGTAGCCTGTTAATGCTGCGGCCGCCTGTTTATGCCTTGTAATTAATCTCCGACTTAAGCGCCGCTAAACAAACACACATTTACTAAATTAGCGATCGCTCGCTCTCGTGCTGATAGACGCCGAAACGAAAAAAGATCCGCGCGATCGGACGGACGCGGGCGAAAATCAAGATCTCGCCGTGCTCGTTCTCGACGTGCACTTGATTAATATCCAGATGTAATTACGCGCCGCCTCGGGGAAAGGACGGATGAGGCGCGAGAGAAGAGGGCAACTCTTCTCCTCTCGTCGCTCGCCGAGATCACCGTGTGGGAGGTAGGCGCATCGGGCACGAGAGGAAAAAGACGAGAGAGGGAAGAAGGACGTGGTGGAGAGAAAGAGAGAATCGAGCTGCCGACGAAACGAAATCCTGACAGGTTTCATCGTAGGCTGACGTAAACAATTTGCGAATGTAAATACCTGTTGAATATTGAGCGTGCTGGTCGGGGCCCACGGGGCCCCACGCCGCGGCCCCCCAACACCTTGCGATCGTTTACCCTTTAAACTCGTGATTACCATCCAGCGCCGTCTCCCACCTACCGCGGCGAGGCGTGTAAGTCACATCGGCATAAATTATACGCGAACATCGGTATGGCCAAGTGCAGCGGGGGATCCTTCCTCGCAACTTCGTCGAGGAGGTAACCCTCGGCTCCATCCCTCGTCCGGACCGCGAAGAGAAGTCGCGAAGCGAGAAACGATCGGAGCATTCTTGACACACGTGAGATTCGAAAAAGGACGAGCGCTCTGATAGCCAAGTGAATTAAAATCTAACGCAGATTCAATTCAATCCTCCTATCTAAAAAAAGGCATGTAAAGTCGATACTCGAAAGTCTCGAAGTGTATTGTTGTCGCTTTTCCGCGATGCTGATTGGTTCTGTCATTGCGCTTACTTCGTGAGCGGCTGTCATTGCATATTTTGACAGTTATTATTTTGTGTATATATCGTTAAAAATGTTTAATGAAAAAGAATAAATAGCGCGCGCGAAGCGCGCGTTGTGTTGTGCTAGTAATATAAAAAGAAGCTCAATGAACGCAATCTCGCTTTACGGTGTTCACATTTATTCAATTGACGCATTGATATCTCAAGAATGCGCGTCGAATCACTATTATTTTATAGATTTAGGATGCGATAATGCTCGGCGGCGCGTGGAACGCGCCTCTCGCACGATTATCAACAATTATTTGGAGGATCTCTTGATATCTGTATATCAACGTCCGATTGAATCGCAAGGATCGATTCCGCATCGCGGCTCCGCAACGTAGTGCACGGCTTAAGAACACGTGTCGAGATAATTGGGAATCGATCTCGATACCGATATCGACAAAGCGGTCGACGCTTTTCGGACGATTTTCTTGCTTCCATCTGTATTTAATTACCGCGGTCGATTATAACGGAATTATTTGTACGATGCGTATCGATAACGGTCCGCAATACGTTTATCCGAACATCACGCTTATTTTCCTCGCCCAATTTTTCAACAGCCTAATCGTAGCTGATAGGCAATAAAGATATCCAGGCACGTCAGAAAACCGCAATTATAATTAGATGTATATACGTGAAAATCAAAGAAGCTCACTCACCGTCCTGGTTCATCCCGTGGCTGCCGTCATCTGTTCCAAACAGAAAAAAAGGGAATTAATCGAGATGTGAAATTGAAATCCGACGAGAGAGAGAGAGAGAGAGAGAGAAATACGTAACCGAGATTACACCATCGAAACGTGCATATATACATACATTTAAGCGAACAATGCAAAAGCGGGGCACGCGTTTATCTGTTCATTTATTCTAGAAGACTGACCTGCGATGCGTTAATTAAAACGTTGCAGCTGCGTAATCATGTGTCATGTCATTCTCTGAATATAATCAGTGTTCCCGATAAAGCGGTACTTGTACAGCGGGAGCAATAAAATAGGCAGACGCTAATGAAGTTTCCGGATGCCATTCGTAAACATAATATAAAATACGCGCGTCTCTGGTAAATAGCGCGGTCAAATATTGCGTGGAATATTTTTCATCGATCTCGCGTATCTGAGGAGTATAAATCTGGGAGCCCCATCGGGGCGCGCCATCGTAGCCCATAGAGACCTCGCGACTGCCTCGATAGGAAATCGCGGGCAGCAGGAGGCGGTTGCGGCACCTCCGCGTCCGTTGCCGTCTCGGATCATGACGACTCGCGCCCCGGACGATAGCGGCAACCTGCACGGCAACCTATTTGTACTCGCCGGGTCCCGGTATCGCGCGATCGCGCGCGCAGAGTGTTCCTTTATTTAACCCCATAAATAACCGCCGCTATCTTACCCCGCGCTTCTTCGTGCTTCTCCTATACGCAGCAACACGTGTATACGCGTGCATATAACGCACCGCAAAACAAAATACATACAGGGTGTAACTGAAAAATCTGCATGAATTTTGAGGGTGAAATCTATGCAATAAAAAAAGAAAGACCACGAGGGTCCTGAAAGGCTTCGTTGCGGAGATATAGTTCTGTAAAGATGAGATTTTATCATGATTTTTGTGTGGAGTCATCTAATTATAAAACAACTAGTTTATTCAACTCCTATTAATGACATAGACAAATTTTCGACGGTTGCGTAATATCCTTGGAATTTTTTATGCTCATGTATAATCTCAAGGAGGAAGTTTTGAACATCCTTTTTTTTTAAATTTAAGCCGTTATTGTCTTTGCATTAATGAGACTTATGTGATTTCCTATTTTTAAAAACTGTTATCTCTGTAATCTTTTTTTATTAAATAACAATTAAAAAGGTCACAAGAGCAATTAATGAATGTCCGTATAACATAAAGTCAAATTTTGAAAACAAAAACGACCCGATAAAATTTAATAAATTAAAGAACCAAAATGCATAACATGTAAGTTAATAAATCTTGAGATATACAAATACAAATTAAATTAGAAAATAGAAGTACTGTCTTTTTTTATTGTTCTGATGCGTAGAACTCGCATTCAAAATTTATACAGAACTTTTAGTTACACCCTGTATATCGGATGCTGCCAGTCATTCTTCGTTGCGCGAATCCCCCATAAGCGATTCCTGTCCACAGCAGAAAGAATACTTTCGCGAGGAGATTCAAGCGTGATGTGTTACCCACTCGATATTGGCGCGCGTTTAATCCCTTCCCTCTCATTTGTATGACCTCGAAGTAACAGTATGATGTACTGTCTTTTTTCTTTCTTCTCTTATGACATTCAATAACTACGCTGTTCATACGCGATCGTTATCGGAACCATAAAGATCACCGAAATAAAAAGATTAAAATGTTTATTTGGAAGCGATGACACGAGTTTCACATATGCAAATACAAATACAATTACAAATACGTCTCGCAAGAAGGACGTAGGCAGTGATTAGAGGCTCTGAAGTCGTTTTTCATGTAACGCTACATTCTCGAATATCAGATTATTGAATATATTAATACGGATTGCTAAATAAATCACATCAAGCGGTCAAATATATCAAAGGACCTGTACGTTTTGCGTAATAAGTCGTCGCATAATCTATCGGAGAGAGGCGTGGGTTTTTAAAACGATACTTTTTTTCGTAGGGTATATATATAGAGCAAAAATGAAATGTTCGCGGTAAATTCAGACGTTCGAAACGTTTCACGCTCAGTTCCGCTTCTGGAATATCACTTTCTTCTCCCGAAAAAAAAAAAAGAAATTATTTCATTACGCTTTCTCAGGCAATATCGTCGGTCAAGTAACGCGGGCCTTTCGATCGTCGAATGACGAAGAGTCTAAATAAAGTAGCGATTAATTACGAAAAAACTGCAAAATCAAAATGAAACGGCCGATCCGATCTCTCGCGAGGTGTACGAAATAATTATTACGTCGCGTAAAGTCGATGAATCGTATAAATTTGCTAGAATTCGCGGCGTTAATTATAAATTAATTACAAGTTAATGTCACCGCGCGAGTTCACGCATCATTAAAGACAATCGCGATATGTCGTCGATGACTTCAGAGATGCAATTAAGAACATATTTGTCCCGCGGTCGACGAGAAGCAGGAAGAGGAATTGCGAGTACGAGGGTGTTACACGGAATCTCGATCATTAATAAATTAGATAACGATGTATGTTGGATGCGCGTCTCGTGTGGGGTCCTAAAATTGAGATCCGCGGTTTTCTCTCTGTCAAATACGTTGATATCATTAGATTTAACGACCCCCTGACTCTGTCTTTCTCTCCCCTCTTCTTCCTTCACGGGTCTCGTGGCTCATGCCGCGTCACTGGTTGCTGCCACGGCGGCAGCCTTTCATCTTCCTTAACCAGCACCACTCTCTTCCGTCACGCATACACATCCGCGGAGAACGAAGGAAGACAACGAGCTTCCACGCCGGCGTAACCAACCGTTGGCTGGAATAAACTACCGCGCTTCGAAGATGATCCCGGCGCGTATCCGTGTGTCTCACGTATGTGCGGGCATCTGTATGCGTGCTCAAAAATATACCTGCGACGATCGGCCACCAAAGAAGAAACTACCGACTTCTACGGTACGTCTGTGTATGACGAGCGCCAGGCAAGTTCAGTTAACTCGATTGTTCCGTACGGAACAAGGAGCTCTTTCACGCGGGAGTCTCGGAACTTTGATGTCGGAATCATTGCTCGCATCGATGTCCCACCGGCACGTAACGTCGCTTCGCCGGATGTGCGCCGCCGTCGATACCGGGATTTAATAAGTTTGCGGTTTACAGCGAGGTAATGATGATAAACGGTAGGAGTTAACGGCGGGAGCGGGAATCCGGATTTTTGCGTTCAACGCGCTTTTACGCGCAATTCGCGGCTTCAACGATATTAATGATCGCTAATAGAATCCGCGACGGGTAATCGCGTTTGTAAGGTTCTTCTAGAAGACTGATGTATCGTGAACGATAATTAATTATGAAACGATTATTATTATCTAGACAGTTGTCGCTCGTCTACTTAAAACCGCGCTATTAATCATATTTTAGAAATCTGTTGACCGGACAGAGTGAAAAAAAGAGGGAGAAAGAAAGAGAGAGAGAGAGAGAGAGAGAGAGAGAATCGGAAAGCGCGTTTGAGAAAGAAAGAGAGAGAGAGAGAGAGAGAGAGAGAGAGAGAGAGAGAGAGAGAATCGGAAAGCGCGTTCGACAGATTCCTGAATTCCAGTTACAGCCGTTGACTCGGCGAACGTGATGCATCGTCATCGCGCGAGTCGCTGGTAATAGAAGCGTTGCCGCGCTTCTGAGACGAAGATTTATCGCTGGTATTTCGCGTGGCACGTGCCTGCCCTTTTTTGCAACCGCGACATTCTTGTCGGCTGTGCACTTCGCCATTGCCATTCGTCGCGTACATTGTCTCGTTCTCGAAACAATTTGGGTAATCATCGACGAACGATATCGAAAGGCAGAGTCATTTATATATCGCGATGGGTCATCAAAAATTTGTGCCGATAATGCAATGAATCGTTTTATTTTGAACCAGAAAAAATGTAATTATTATTGATAAATTGATTATCGCAGGAAATGGTCGTCTTATTTATCGGAAGGACAATTTCTGTACGATTGAAAATATAATTTCCCGCTTCTTTCGACTGGTCTCCTGCGACAATCGTCTTAACGTTCTACGTAAATAAAAGGAACTGGATTCGTAAGAAGAAACATACGTTTTTTCTTGGAGTCCTCATGCATACCTCCGGGTGTCGCAGCGTTGTGATTATGATGGTGGAGGGCTAGAGGGTCTTGGGGATGCGAATGAATGGCGGCCAGGGCACTTCCGGCAGGGTCACCTGGATTGACCCCGACTCCGACCCCCAGGTGTAGAGCACCATGCTGCGTCGCGTGTGCCGGAAGCTCCATGCTGATCATAGCACGCCACCCTTCTTCCAACCCTCTCCTCCCGCCACCTCCTTCCTCTATCTCGGACAATACCTCGCCGAGTTGGACGAGGCGTCCGTTCAACTCCTCGTCGCCTTCTGGAAAAAAAAAAATTAAAAATGTCAGTTAATAATCTAAAAAAAAGAGAAAGAGAAAAAACAAAAAAAAATGACCGATTTTCTCTCGCGAGGGAAAAGATTTAACGTTCTCGAGGACGATTCGTTGCAGATGGTGATCGCTTCCGTTAAGCAACGGACATGGATTTTCGGTCAGTGACTCGCAGAGTTAAATCAATGGTGCAAGAATACCGTAGACAAAGATCCCGAGATCCTGATCTAGGCGTACCCCTCTTCCCTCCCCCCTCCCTCTCTCCTATCGGGCTCCACGCGGCTGGCTGGATCACAAAAATAAGGACTCGACGGTCCCAGCCGCAATGGGATTGCCTTCGCCACGCTTTTTACGCGTCGAGTGGATAATTTCTTCGTTCCTCTCTACGTAATGATCTGGCCGGGTGATGCCTTTTTTGCTTATTACATCGAGAGAGGCCGCCGCGGAGAACGACACATCGCTCTAAGTTGGAAGGTGAGATCCCACTCGAATGAATGAAAGGATGAATGGAGCGTAATTTCGTCCACGCTGTCGGCAACGTTCATCTACTACAGTAGGACCGTTCTCTTCCCATCTCTTCGACATGGCGAGAGCATTGTCTAGGCCCGGACGCGATTACACATCCTCGCGATGCGCAACTTAAAGCAGCTGCTGTACGATGGAAAAGAAAGAGCGCATCGACGGCGAGATATGATAAGTCTACTGTCCTAGATTGCAACAATCCGTTTGTCAGACTTCTTTTTCGAAACAATATTTAACAATGTTTCCTCTATCATAAAATACTTGTATCAAATTGTCAATTGTCAAATCTGTAATGTTTGTTTATTCATTATTGAATTTTATTCATAATCAAAACAGCAATATCTCCATGGGAACACTTCGATCAAAGCGTCGAAATATTCACGTCTATTTTCCGTCGATTCCTCGCCGCTTTAACAATGTTTCCTCTATCATAAAATACTTGTATCAAATTGTCAATTGTCAAATCTGTAATGTTTGTTTATTCATTATTGAATTTTATTCATAATCAAAACAGCAATATCTCCATGGGAAAACTTCGATCAAAGCGTCAAAATATTAGAGTCGAAATATTCACGTCTATTTTCCGTCGATTCCTCGCCGCATTCCGCGAATGTATAAACGTTCGAAACTGGTACAAAAAATATTGATGCGGCTTCTTCTTATTCCCGCGGATCCATTACGCTGTCCTGCAGAGGGGGAGAAAAAAGAGAGAGCAAGGAGATGTGAAGCAAGGAGTCAAGAACAACCGTCGGCAGACGCACCAATCGTCATCGGGCGACCATCCGTGAAATTCAAAACTGCTCCCGCGTTTCGCCGTTTTACATCGCGAAACGCGCGGATCTCATAACGCGTGGGAGTGAGACTCAGAAACGGTTACCGAGTCTGCGGTCAACGACTGTCCACCGCAGCAGGCGGTGCTGTCTTTGTATCTCCGTTGATGATTAAAACGCCTCGACAGGCTCTAATTTGCGTGAGGAAGTCGGTCATTTTTAAGCACGAGTCTCCGCCAATGAAAAGTTGCTTCATCATTTTTAAAATAATAAATTCATAGAAAGTCACAAGATGGTTTATATATTGTAAAATGCGTAAAATTTAAAAGCGTGTGTAAAAAATAAGCATCGTTTATTTCATTTATATCAGAGAATTTTCCAAGTAACCTCTTTAAAGTATCTCTTTCGTAGAGTCACCTGGCTTAATCGTTTACCGCGTTAAACTCGACAGGAAGACCACGAATATTAATTCTAATCTAGTAAAAAATTGCATTCTCAATTTTTTCCAGTGGCAAGAAAATCCCGTCTTCAGCTTATCGGGAATGAAAGCGCGAGAGATGATTGTTTAGTATCGCGGTTTCCTAACCGGCGCCCGCTTCCTTCAGGGACTCGCACTACCAACATTGCTGCCCCTGATGGAAGCTGGAATGTAACGAGGTACATCGCGGCGAATAAACGTCAGGTAACAGGCGGATGATCGTTCGGCGAGAAGGCGAAAGAGACGCAACGGTTAGCGACTTAGTGCACGAACGAGCCTTAAGTAAAGCAAAATGGGTGAGTCGTGGACGGCCAAAGTATGCGTAAAGACCAGGCTTAGAGGGAGATACTCGTCCCTATGAACCGTGGGAGTCGGCCACCAGCGCTTTTACGGTGTCTACGCACTCGCTAAAACCATTGTTTACGGCCCGCGTACTTTGCTAACTGGACCCCTATTCCCGGGAGCCCCGCGCCGCGGGGACCGGACCGCACGCCGGTTACTCTGCATGTCTTAAGAACGAAAGTAACTGACGCAGAAAACGTCGCGTTGTGCAATGAAAGCGGATCGTTCGTAGCCAGGTTCGCGATCGACGTGCAGCTTGTGTGTGGTCGGGATCGCACAGATGATCCAGCGGAGATAAATAACTGGCCATCGATCTGTTTGAACCAACCCTCTTTCAATTACAACGTATGCGTTCTACCGGCGAGCGGCCAATTAGAAAATGTCGTTAGAAGATTATAAAATAAAATAGCTTGAAATAAAATGGTTTTCTCTAACGAGAGAAAGAAAGAGAGACAGAAAGAGGGAGAAATCAGTATTAAAAATTGCTTTTACACAACATTTACATAATATAAAGTTTGCGAGCATATTTGCATCGATCGAGTCATTAATTAATAACAAAGCCTATTAAAACATTCAAATTGTCGCAAATATATCTTTTTAATTAGCACAAAAAAGAAAAACGAAAAAACGATATTTGCATAAACATGTTACGTAAACAATGATGATCCGAGGAAGTCCAACTGGTCGAAGGGAGCTTATAGCAGCCAGCGAAATGTGTGGCTACCGTCCGCACCTTCTGTCCGCACCGCTCATCAGCTTTCGCATCAGCGTCGATT